TACTTACTTGCGCTTATCCGGATTGTTCAAACCGACTTAAAACTAGATGATTAAAGATTAAAGATTAAAGATTATGTTCTCTCTCGCGAACTCATTCGGGAGTGGTGACTTTCCACGTATTCCCAACTTCTGAGCCTGCTCGCCTGAAGTTATTGTTGATTGCTCTTCGGCTGGATATCAACACACCCATTAACGTAAACTACGCCAGAGCGCGTACACACCTCACGCACCGGATGCCGTGAGCGCGCCCAAAGCAGTTGGACATAGTGGTGTATTAGAGGAAAAAAATTATATAAATACTGTTCGGTTTCTGGCACAAACTGATCGTTTTGTGACTTAGGACATCAATGTGTCGTCACGAGCCGCAGGGTTTAATTTAGATTTGTCTGTGCATGTTTTTTTTTACTCTCATAGATTTTGTTACCATTGCCATGTATTATACAACCGATAGACTGCAACGGTTGGAGTTAAAAATCATCATATGTGTTCTACTGAAGAAACAAAGTCACCTACATCTTGGATGCCCTGGGGGTAAGCAGATAAACATCAAATATTCATTTTTGGGTGAACTATCCCTTTAAGTCAGCCTGGCTCCCCCTTAGCGAATTTGACTAAATATTTATTTATAAAGTTTTTTCCATGAAGTAAAAATGCATATCATGCAGTTAATAATACATGTAAAAGTTAATACATTTTAAATTGTTATTGTAAGTAAATTAATAAATCAAAACAAACTTAACTCATTTGCGTAAGAATTGTCACGTGACGAATCGGCATTTTGGTGGATAATAGACTTAACGGTAATGCTTGCCTGTTGTGTGGAATAAAATGCGTTTTTAACAACATACACGAACTGCAGAGAAATCTGGAGACAACGAAAAACTCCGATGAAGATATTAATGCCGTGCTTCATGATTCCGGACCCGGACAATCAGATAAAGGTGATGCAGCCGGTTTAGCCGCACACTACTTTTATGCCCACATCCAAATGTTATTTAATTTTCACAGAACACAACCTCTAAATAGATTTTAGAATATAAACTGTTTATCGTCTATTCAAAGTGTGCGCCTCATTGCGCATTAACTAGAATCAAGCCCAACAAATGTCTGTTTTAAAAAACAGTGGATGAGTAATTCACTCCTTGATTGCTTAATAAAAGCCTGCTTTGAGATCGTCTTGACGGACATGTTTAGTGTGCATTTTAAACGTGTTTATTGCTAAGTTTAGTGTAGGAAAATAGAAGCGCAGCTGTAATTCGCGTGCAGTGTATGTGGTTACCATGACAACCTCATGCACTTGCCACTGCTCTGTGAATATGTAGATTTACTCTAGCAAAACTAAAATGTGTTTAAAAGTATGTCTGACCAAATCCACCGGTTCGGTTTGGCCCCCCCAAACTCAAACGTCAAGCTACGCCTATGATTACCACCAATGGAGCTACGATCAATTTAGGCTTAAGATGCTTTTGGGAAACACAGCCTATGTCATTTCACTTGTTGCCTTTTTACTAACATAATAACATGAAAAATGGCAATATATTAAGAAATATTCTGGTGTTTCTTATTTTTATCGTTTTAGGGCCCGAGCACCGATGGTGTGAGGACCCTATCGGAATTGCTCCATTTCTTCTTCTTCTTCTCCAAAGTGAATTGCATTTTTGAGGCCCTAAACATTCTGAAACTTTGCACATGCGTCACAACTGGTGAAAATTTACATCTGATATGGGTTTCAGAAGTGGGTGTGTCAAAATGGCTCGATAGCACCCAGTGCTCTGCGGGGGAGGTACGGAGCTTCCCCAAAATTTTGAGGTGAAAATGAGGACGAATGTTAACAAAATTCACAATTAATTTCAGTTCATGTCTCAGAATGTTTCTTTTTGTTTGTAATTTCACAGTTGTAATACCGTAACGTGAAAGCGCCACTTTTCTATCGCGAATGTGCCGAATCTGCTGATGTAATTACAACCGCTACGTCCGAAAGCTCTAAAATGCTGCCTTCGAAGGCATCAAGGCACGTCCGAATCCAAATTCTGCTTTACTTCCTGTCTCCAGAGGTACCTTCTTCTGATCGAATTTTGAAGGCAGCATAGATGTATCCTTCGCTGCCTTTAATAGGGACTTTAAGCAACAACAGCTGATGGAACGGCAACGGCAAAGAAAGTGCGATTGCGCATGCGCGACGTTAAGCGCTACTTTGTGACATGTACATTGTAACGGTCTACTACGGGAGTACAGCTAATTTGCCGTAGTCGCTACTATGTGACAGATTAAAAGGCGAGTATATTTTGCATGGTAAATCTAGGTTTTTAGACGTATTGGTATCATACAAGACTAAAAACTCTTCTTCTGACAACAAGTTGTCGTTTAATGCCAAAAACATGCTTTCTCTTGCCCCTTTAAATGACATTTTTTGTTATGCTAATGATAAATGATTGAATGTTTCACCGTCCTCTCGGTTGTTGCTGTTGCTTAGTGATTTTTGCACTCTTTGGCTACGGCAGTTAACAGTTTATGTCAGATCGCCTTTGCCGTTCCATCAGCTGTTGTTGCTTAAAGTCCCTA